GAAATTCAATGGAACATTTCTATGCAAGTGTGCTTTAGTTACTTGTGAGCTGCGGGTTTGACGTGGGTGCTACCCCATCCTTCAATAAAATGTTTCACAGAATGTGCTGCGCAAACTCTTTTTTTTCCAAAAAAGAAAGTGCGGTCATCATTACCCTCATGTTGTTCCAACTTGTATGACTGACTTTCAGAAGTCAGAAGACTTTCTTCAGAAGACTCTCCTGTGTGCTATCCAGTGCTTCACACTCCAGTCCAGTAGGTGGCAGAAATCTTTCTATGCACCAACATGGAAGGGGCAATCACTGACACAATTGTTTTTTTTTTGTTTGTTTTTTTAGCATTGAAATGTACAGGCCTACTATATATTGATGTTTTCACCCAGTCAGATATTTATTAAATGATCTCGTTTTTGTTCTGTCATAGAGAGTCATACAGGTTTGGAACAACATGAAGACAGAATCAGTCAATAAAAACAATTTTCCATTTTAGTTTGAGTAACTCTATAAGGTTGGATCAGGGATCTTTCTTAAAAATAAACTTTCCTGATGCTGGTGCTACACAAGGATTGACAAACTTATTACTCCCAGTTATTACTCTAATATTATTCGCAAACTATAGAAACGCATCTACCCTGTGAAAAAGTAATGCTCTTAACTGTATTAAATGTGCATTAGTAGTGTACATTAAATCTTAAAAGTAGTATTAAAAAAAAAACAGATAATATGAATAAATAAAATGGTGTTATTAAAGAGAGTACAATTTCTTGACTGTTTCTAACACAAAGTACACTTTTTTTTTTTAAGTGCTCTTTGTAATTGTCAAATGAAGACTTTAAAGTACTGTAAAATGTTTTAATCTTTTGGCATGCTTTCAAAAGTACACTTGAAATTACACTATGAAAATAAACATTAAGATGTATTAAGTCCAATTTAAAGTAAAAAAAAAAAAGCATTCTGAAAAAAAAAACATTTTAATTTATTTGCAATTAACACACAATTAAGCGTCTAAAAACATTACATTCAATTCACACTTAAGTATATTATTTTAAAGTATATAATTTCTGTAATAAGTAGGCTTAAAACTCTTTTTACAAGTACGCTAAAGTGTACTTTTTTTTCAAAAGGGTATCCTACCTCTAAACTCTAATCAAAAGTCATTGATGTGTGAATATTATTTGTTCATGTATTCATCTATTTGCTGTTAGAAGCTACAGTCTTTGCCTGTTTATAGAGTTAATAGCCCTTAGTCAAGTAAGCAATAAAGAAGTCTGACATTCCGTCTGTTTGTTTAACTAATCTTAAATCTTGCTCTAACAGTTGTTTTTTAAATGGACAAAGAGCATGTCATTGTCCTGCACTGCTGGCATATTTGTCAATAGTTTCCTCAGGCTGAAAAGACATTTCGGCATGAGAATCAAACTCTTCATTTGTTCTTCAACCACTGGAACCAGTCGTCCGTTAACAAAACAACACAGCGAGTAATTCTTCCCATCGGAGACATCACACGCCGCCCATTAGCTCCGGGTCTCTGCGTGTGTGTGATGGAAACCCACATCTCTGGAATACGAAGTCCCCTAATGAACAGGCATCTGACTGCAAGAGCCATCAGTGAAAAGCAAAATTCGTTAAAACTGAAGGAGGTAATTGGAAAGTGAGCTGTCACAGTGCAGGCGCCTTCTGAATCTGTCAGCTTCGTAATGAAGAGAAACATCACTGCCTTCGTTGACCCAAGAAAACACACAAAGACAAGCAGAGGAAGGGACAAACACATGTTCAGCTCATGAAAAGCTGCTCATGCTGGAAAAGACCTGAGGTCATGTGTTAACACACTCTTTAGGGTGGTACACGCACTGATATAAAACCAAATTCAGCTTTTCTCATTTAAAGCCCATTTAAGACAGGTTACATTAAGTTGCAAAGTAAAATAAAGAAATAAATATACAATTTTAGCATTATTTTTATACTATTATAGTTTAGCAAATAGCATTTCAGTTGTCATTTTAATTTTAGTTTAAGATTTTTTTTCTTTTTTATTTCTATGTAGCTTTTTTTTTTATTCAGTTTTAGTTTGCTTTAGTACATTTAAAAATGTAAAAGCATTTATTTCTGGTAGTAGACAATTATATATATATATATATATAGCGCAATATCACATGATTGTGTGATATCGAGCCATTTTGATATAGAGTTATATCACACAGCTACAGTTTGACATTTTAGTGTAAATAAATAACTTCCCACCGTTTTATTTTTTTAAAGATGATCAATAAATAGAGATTGAGTATTAAAATAATAATAATAATAATTTAGATTTTTCTTTAAATGAAAAATCATCATAGGTAAAGATACAGTGGGTACGGAAAGTATTCAGACCCCCTTCAATTTTTCACTCTTTGTTATATTGCAGCCATCATCATCCCCATATTACCACCTTACCCCCCCCATTAACCATCCACCTCTCCAGCAGCACACACACTTCATTTGATGTTAACCATGTAAGCACTCATATCTGTCACACTAATAGCTATTGTTATGCTGATACGCACAGTAGGACTGACACACAGGTTGCTCCCACTTCAATCATAGCAGAACACTTAAAGCAAGTTAATACATGATCTTACCAGCATGTGACATTGGTTTTACAGACCTACACATACCATAAAATGGTGGGAGGGAGGGGTTTACAACAAATTTTAGCTACTCAACTTTATTAAATTAATATTACACAGTCAGTTTGACAGACTAAAGGGAGGTTTTTCTTCTCAAGGGCTAGTTTTTGTCTTATTCACGTGTACTGGTTTGAGTGAAACGGTCTTGGATCAGTTCACTTCCAGAATAAAAATGTCCTGATAATTTACTCACCCCTATGTCATCCAAGACGTTCGTGTATTTCTGTCTTCAGTCGCAAAGAATTAAGTTTTTTGAGGAAAACATTCCAGGATTTTTGGCCAACGTGCTGAAGGTCCAAATTGCAGTTTCAGTGCAGCTTTAAAGGGCTCTACATGATCCCAGCTGAGGAATAAGGGTCTTATCAAGCGAAACCATGTCATTTTCTTAAAAAACAAAACAAAAATTATATACTTTTTAACCACAAATGCACGTCTTGCACTAGCTCTGCGATGCGCATCCACAAATTCACACATTACGTAATCACGTTGGAAAGGTCGCGTGCGGTTAGCTCTTCGTCTGTGTACTCCGGTTCAGAAAGGTAGGGTATTTTCATTTTCTCCGACATCGTTGTTTTACCTTTTTTTTGTGTAAAGGGCGTTTGACACGCGTCTTTGCATGTTCGCTTTGAAAACACTGGGTCGGTTCTTCCGCCTACGTCACGCGTGACCTTTCCAACGTGACGACGTAATGCGTGAAGTCCAGCTTGTGCAAGATGAGCATTTGTGATTAAAAAGTATATAGATTACATTTTTTTTTTGTAGAAAATGCCTGATCGTTTCAATAGATAAGACCCTTATTCCTCGGCTGGGATCGTGTAGCGCTCTTTGAAGCTGCACTGAAACTGCAATTTGGACCTTCAACCTGTTGGTCCCCATTGAAGTCCATTATATGGAGAAAAATCCTGGACGCTTTCCTCAAAAACCTTCATTTCTTTGCGACTTAAGAAAGAAAGACATGAACATCTTGGATGACATGGGGTGAGTAAAATATCAGGAATTTTTTATTCTGGAAGTGAACTAATCCTTTAAGATATAAAACTGCACGAACCTTGCGGAAGAACATTTTTGTGGTTGTGCTTCGGCACTGCTATTCTGCAGTATAAATGTAGCTCTTGGCACACAGAAATCCAAAAATTATGTTGATTGAAAATATTTATGTTTTTAAATTATGTTAAGATGTTACGTGAGTTTACATGTTGTCATTTCGGTGAATTAAATGAGACCAAAACACAGGCTCAAGATAACCAGTGAGGATAGAAAGGGTCGCAAGTTGACTAATTAGACAGCTGAAACGTTAATTTGGCGATCCAATAGATGTATCATTGAAAATAAAAATCCAGCACTACAACAGCCCATAATGAAATTACACAATTCAGCTAACGCTATATAATGAACTCACACTACTGTTAAAGTTACATTGCGGTCTATTAGTTATATAAAATATCTTACCCGTTGAGTAAGGAAGCTGGGGCTTTCAAATCTCGGGGATCTCATCACAACCAAAGACTGCAATGTTGATTCGGGTTTTATTCCGGACTTCATCTCTTTCGGCTTGTAGACTGTGCTCTTTTTGGAGTTTCTTTGTTTTTACAACCAATTCCCCTGTGGTTTACAGTTTTGTGTGGTTCATGCTCAATATTTGTGGCTCGTTCGTTGTCACAACTAACTTTGAGCTTCAGCTAGTCGTACACTAGCCACATCCAGAAGCTAATTTGATCTGTTTACGGATATGACGTGACACACAAAGGCAAAATGAAGTTTCCCGCGTGTGTGAAGTTTTCCACGAAATCAGACCTGACAGCTCTCGATTCGGCTTACAATAGTGATTATTCAGGGTAAAGCAAAAAGACGGGTTGGAAGAAGGACTTATCATTTACTGCTCATAATATTGAAATTTAGTTCATTTCAAACAGAGAAAAAAACATATAAATAGCTCTGCAATATGGCAAATTAATTTTGAATTTGTTGAAAGTACCAACATTCCATTTTGCTTTTATTTAAAACATTGAATATTTCATATGAACTACACTTGCTTACAGATGAAATTAGATTTTGTGTTTTATGTTGCTGTGGGCAGTTGACTGGGATAATGGTAGGGTTAATACGTCTGAACTGAGGAAAATATCTTATTTGCTATAATATTATTTTGAAATACACCACTGATCCATTGAAACATAGATGTTAAAAAGATTTATTTAATTACGAGTCAGACTGACATGATCACAAATAGAAACATGAACAAAATGACAAACATTTTGAAAAGGGTAACAGATTAGAAACTTTACACATGAAAACAAATACAACATGACATTGACACTATATCATGGAGACAGACATAAAAACAAAAGACAAATAAGATGCAATCGCTGCCATAATGCTATACGAGTACTGCTTATTGCTAAATTAGAAGGATGCACAGTATAAAGTGACAAAAATATCTGCATTTCTATCAAGGGCAGAACATGACAAAATAATACTGTACCACCTCCTGCACATGCCAAAGACTAATGGACATGGTCAAATGAAATATAAAGTAGAACTGGAGGTTATTCTGTAATGGACATCAAACAGACTCCATCTACCCCATTAAACTCAGGTGGGCAAACAAGAGCGACATCAGATGCTGGAGGTGGAGAGGATGTCCTCTACCAGGTGTTTATACACCCAGGCGTCACCTTTGAGCCGCTGTCGACGGATCCCGACCACCTCAGGCTTCTGCAGGATACAAACCTCCAGCTCGAACTGCATGGTCACCTTTCCAAAGTCTGACTGTGTGTGGCACTTCAGAGTATAGCTAACAGAAAAAGAGGACCTTATGATACCATATAACAATTTAACCAAGTTAACAAGTTATTTTGTTTAGAGCGGTGGTTCTCAACCTTTCTGACTCAAAGGCCCCGTTTTCCAAAACAATATTTGAAGGGCGCCCCCTTCAAGTTATGTTCTATATTCCAGAACTATGTTCTTCAATAAAAATAAGTTATTGAGGGAAAATAGAAATAAATATCGGATATAAGATGTAAAATTTTATTTAAATTTATGGACACATGAAGCAAATGTTTATGGGATAGTTAAAAAATATCTATACTATGGAAGTCAATAGGGTCCAGCAACTGTTTGGTAACCCATATTCTTCACAATATGTTCTTCTGTGTTCACCAAAACAAAGAAACACATACAGGTTTGGAACAACTTGAGAGTGAGTAAATGATGACAGAATTTTAATTTTTTTTGGGGTGAAATGTCCGTTTAAAGTGACAGTTAAACCAAAAAATATATATATATTCTATATTTAAATTTTTTTTAGCATTTAATTTAGATTTTAATATATTAATAATAATTTTAATATATTAATAATAATTATTAATTAAAATACTGCTGAGGTTTGCTGAGGCCCCGTCCCCTTGGTTGAGAACCACTGGTTTAGCAGAAAAACTAATTTGAATTGCCATTTCAGGAAACACTTAATTTAAGAGTTTAACTTACCCCTTCTGAACAAAGTCCACATTCTTATTTTAATTTTTTTTGGGGTGAAATGTCCGTTTAAAGTGACAGTTAAACCAAAAAATATATATATATTCTATAATTTCTTCACACCTTCATTCTTCCACTGACCTCAAATAAAATTCATTCTGTTCCTCAAACAGAGCACACATGTTTTTTGGTCTAATTCTCTCCTTTTTTTTGTGGTTTCAGGCAGTGGTTATGAACCAGGGAATTTAAGCATTAAAATAAGCTGGGACAACTCAGCATCAAGATATTATTATAATTTAACCCCTCAACAACTACTTGTTTTCTTTGAAGAAATTTGGCTTCTTACAGTCTCGAAAACCTGCATATATGATGAAGTGAGATAAAAGTGAGATTTCTAGAGTGAAAGAATCATGCAAGTTAATAAAATCTTATAACTCCATTGGAATTTATATAAGGAATATACATTTTTCTAATTATGCCAAGCTCTAAAATATTTGTAGAACTTGGGAGTAAAAAAAAAAAAACATATTTAAAAAAAATAAAACTTATCTTTAATCCTTATCCAGAAAATCATGGAAAACTGGAAATGTCATGGGGCCCTCAAATATTGTTGTGGACAATGGCAGACCTTGGAGTCAAAAAGGTTTGTTTTTTTGAGCTTGACTATATCTGGGCAACATCCACATCCACTATATGGAAGGGAGCAGCGTGGACATTTTGTTAAACATCTCCTTTTGCATTCAATGAAAGAGTCGTCATCATACAGGTTTACAGCATGAGAGCAAATAAATGATGACCTATCCCTTCTGAAAGTTTAGTTAACAATGTTCCTGGTTGCAACTGAGTGACAAACATGCCAAATCATAATTCTAAATAATTGGAATATGAAAAAACAAGGACATTTTAGGCATTTCAAGAGAACAACAGACAAACAATACAATCTTAAAGACTAAGCACAAATGTAAAAACGAGACGAATGATACCTTAATTTTGCGTGGTCCATCTCGAGGTCCTCTCTTTTTGCTGGGTGTGAGCATTGTAATGACTTTATCCAGGCCTCTCTCCAGACTGCCAAACACTTTACCTCCCTTCCGCTTCTGCCCACTGTCCACCTGACAGCCAGCCAGGTCCAGAGATCGAGACCTGGACATGTGGGAAACGCAGTTTAGAATATAATTGCCCATTTCTATAACTGCAAATCTACCATAATGCGGCACAGGCTTTGCCAAGATCATATTACTGAAGAATAAGGTTAGTTAAAATTATAAATGACTCAACAGTAATCTGCAAGAGTAAGTGCAGCAAGTGCTGCATCTCATTTCAAATGCAAAGAAGGTTTTGACATCAGGTCATACAGATCAAGCAAAAAATGGCCTGTTAACTCAAAAGAGTCAAAAGGGACATGAAAAATAAAAATAATTACACTATTGTTCAAAAATTTTAGGTCAATAAGATGATTTTTAACAAAGATTACACTTTATTTAGCAAGGACAATTGATCAAAAGTGACAGCAAACACTTTTACACCGTTTAATATATAAATATATAGATGTATGTGTATTTGCGGTTTCCACAAAATTAAGTACAACTGTTTTCTGTATTCAGTATTACATGTGAAATGTGAAAATTGACATCACAGAAATATATAAAAATAGAAAAGTTATTTTAAACTGTAATAATATTTCACATTACTGTTTTTACTGTATTTTTGATTAAAAAAATATGCAGCCTTGGTGAACATAAGAGACTAAAAAATAAAAACATAAAAAAATATATTTAAAAATCTCTAAAAAAAAAAGAATAAAATAAAAAAAGTTAAATGTATCTTTTGAAAGTTCATGTATATTTGAGTGTCATTGGCCCAAAAAAGTAAAGTTGACCTCAGTGGGAAACATTTTTTATTTTAAAGGTGAAGTGTCAATGATGTATATAAATTAAAACAAACAAGTAAAAAAAAAAATTTTGCTCATGGGGCAGAATTACACACTTCACCTTTAAAGGGGTCCTTTTATGCTCTTTTACAAAGTCTTGATTTTGTTTTGGGGGTGTACTAGAACATGCTCTCATACTAGGTTGTTCGAAAAACACATTATTTTTCACATATTTTACATTATTACAACACCTCTCTCCCCAGTCTGGCATGAACGGCTCGAATAGTTCCTGTATCAAATGAAGGCCTGCCTTCTGAAAGACGAAATGTGCTGTGATTGGTTAGCTGGGCCAGTATGTGTTGTGATTGGCTCCACTTGGCGCCTGGTCGGGAAATGTCACGCCCCTTACCATAGCCGCCTGCGAGCTTTAGTGTAAATATTGCGTCAAAATCAAATCAATTTGAGCGCGATTTAAACCCGGATGATTGTAACCACTCTAAGTTCGTCTGTCTTGGGAAAGCTAGCGTGTCTCCGACATAGTGATAACACTCGTTGCCTTCTCTAGTGCAGCTCAACCAGGTCTCGTCCCATTCGTCGATATTTGTGATGTCACAAATCCCAGAAAATATGCGTTGTAGTCCAATCGACTCATTCGTTGTAGTTTTTGAAAAGTGATTTCTGTTAAATAAAATATCTCCTTTTGAAGTGGAGCTTTGTAACTTTGCAGATCTTTTTTATGCTCAAACAGCAACATTACAGACTAACTAAAGTTGAAAAAGCATAATAGGGCCCCTTTAAATCCCACAGTCCTCCTCTACTCCATTCTTCCTCTCAAAATACAGAAAGTTCTCTACCTTCTCTCGGGGCTGAAAGCCAGTATATCCAGTTCTCCTTGTTGCCCGCTCTGCTGTTGGTCCATCTCTCTCCTGCGGGACACTTCTTTAGTGGCACTGCCTGCTCCTGCACACACACAGGATAAACACGTGTCACTACATGCTGCCGCAGCACTGTGAACAGCGTACACCTGTCAGTATGTGCTTCGGGAGTTGTCTCGGACACTAGCGCATGCACACACACACACTCTGTCCCCAGTGTGCACCTGTCCGTTCCAGTGCAGGAGGTGGTGTGTGACAGTAACGAGGTGGACACAGTGGATGTTGGGACATGAAGACTTTTCCCCAGACACACTGTGCCCATATAGAGACACATACTCAGACTTTGGTCAACTGAATCAAACTATAGATGCTAGATGACAAATTGACAATGTAGGAACACACACAAAAAACTATTTTTAGGTATGTTCTTTTAAACTCTAGATATGCCATTTAAGCATCTGCAGTACAGGGCTGAAAGACTTCAAAAATCCAGTGTTTGCAGAAAATGAGTGTATAGGTGAATAAATGAAGTTAAGAGGAAAGATCCAGGTGTACCCAGCAGTGAGAGCCCTGATTACACCTTATCTCCAGAACCACTATAAATCACTATCAATGCTTTTGTTCAGATTTCAGCGGTCATTTCCTTCAATTAAATAAAAAAAAAAAATATATATCCCAGCCCCTAGGAGTTCATAATTCCAATATAATGTTAAAAATGGATAAACTGTTTTACATTATATAATACAATTATTAAAGCAAGTGGTAAAAATTGTAAGAACAAATAACATAAGCACATTTTTTCATTTCTGGGTACTTTCTAATTTTCAGATGTTAGTGGAACATGTTCATAGTTATTGTGATGAACTTTGCTTGTGGTTACTCTAACACACCTGTGTGAACTTGAGAAGAACTGATTTCAGACATCTACACAGAAAAGTGAAGTTAGTTAAAAATTGTTTGCAGATGGCACTTGGTTTTATATTTTGTGAATGCAATGCCCTATATTAGGTGTGGCTCAGATGTCCAAATACACTACCGTTTAAAGGTTTGGGATCAGTGTAAGTTTTTAATGTTTGTGAAAGATGTATCTTTCACCAGATGTCTCTTTCATTTATTTGAGCACAAATATGGTAAAAAACAAACAAACTGAAATCTCATTACAATAATAGTTTTTTCTATTTTCATATATTTTAAAACATAATTTATTCCTGTGATGGCAAAGCAGAATTTTCAGCAGCCATTACTCCAATCTGCCACTGTACTGTAAACATCTTATGTGTCACTTTTAAACAATTTAATGCATCCATCCACTAAATAAATGTATTAATTTCTTTCAAAATAAATAAACAAATATCTTATCTTTACTGACCCTTAGCTTTTGAGGCCACCATATAAGGAAAATTCCAAAAATACAGCATATGTAAATTGATGCAGAAACAAAATGAATAATAATAATAATAAAAATATATACAATAAACAGTTCAACAAAGCATATTTGGATTATCACAACAAAGGTGTACACTTGCTGTGATGTTTAACTGATTCATTATCTAGCTCACCTTTGTTTGCATCGCTGCTGGTGGTAGTGATGTTGTTGTTGGGTGTTGTCGCTACATTTCTGTTGGATTTGGTCTTTCTGCTGCTCATCGGAGTTCGGGGAGCAGGCAGAGCAAAAACATCTCCATCTGTAGCTGTCACAGCAAGATTCTCTTTATTTTCTCTGGTTCTCTCACGTCTCTCTGGCTTCTGTCGACGGGGTCTCCCTTGCTCTGTGATGGGGGAGTAGCCCATTTCATTCCGCTTCTTCTCTGATGTTTCAGAGGTGAACATCTGAAGACGACAAAAGTTTTCACAACAATTAGTAAATAAAGTGCTTTCTGGGCTACCGCATGAACTATTTCCATTAGTAACATTTGGTTTTATTTTTGAAACGCATCACAGAAGTTAAATGTGTTGAAATTAGTTTCTTGTTGCCATAAGATGTTAATTATGGATTCATAAAGGATTTGGGCTTCTAATACAAAGGTTGCAAGTTCATAAACTTCCCTAAACAGCCGCTACCAGTCAAAAGGGGAATAATTAAGATTTTTTTATGTTTTTGAAATAAGTCTCTTATGCTCACCAAGGCTGTATTAATTCGATTACACAGTAATATGAAATATTATTACAATTCAAAATAACGGTTTTCTATTTAAATATTTTTAAAATGTAATTTATTCCTGTGATCAAAGCTGAATTTTCAGCATCATTACCCCAATCTTCAGTGTCACATGATCCTTCAGAAATCATTTTAATATGCTGATTTGCTGCTTAGGTATCAAATATTATGTGCTCAAATATTAATAATGATTCTTACTATTATCCATGTTGAAAAGTTTTTGCTGCTTAATATTTTTGTGGAAACCACGATACATTCTTTGATGAATATAAAGTTTAAAAGAACAGCTTTTATATGAAAAAAAAATCACTTTTGATCAATTTATTGTGTCTTTGCTGAAAAAAAGTATTATGTTTTTTACAAATAAATAAACGAATAAGCCTAGTATATTATGGTTTCCACAAAAATATTAAGCAGCACGATGGTTTAACATCTATAAAAATACTAAGCATCACCAAATCAGCATATTAGAATGATTTCTGAAGAATCATGTGACACTGAAGACTGAAATAAATGTGGCCTTGGTGAACATAAGACAGTTCTTTTAAAAACTCTTAATTATTCCAACTTTAACTTTTCAACTTTATAACTTTTTACCAGTAGTGTATTTATTAAACTGACCAAACACAATCCAGTTCTATCAACACTATCACAGTAATTCAGGAAGACCAACTGGTGTTCTGCACAAAACAAGTAAGAGGCAGTAAGAGAAAAGGAGAGTGTGGAGAAATAAAAAGGAAGCTGAATGCAGGAAAAAAGACTGGCTGTATAAGCAGCATTGGACAAGAGGGAAGAGCAGACAAATAAAGAGAACATAGAGGCTAACCATGCGTGGAATGTTTGTGGTGTGTGTGTTCTTGGGTGTGAGAGGGGTCCAGGGATTCTCGTCATCGTAGCAATCAGGAGTGAAGACCATAGAGCCAAGCACCACTGGGTGAACACCATCATCATCCTCACTGAAGCGTTGACTCTTCTTCAGCTGAGACACATACACAAAATCATACTCCTGTCAACGACTTCAGCTACATAAGCATTTACACAGCAAGCAAAACATGACTACAGTAATATTCATAAATGAACATTTTTTTATAATAAATGTAGCATGAGCTGGCCACTGTGCATTCATACTGCTCCTAAATGTGTGAATACTGAACTCACTTGTATGTCCTGTAGAGGAGAGTACATGCGGTCAATCACGGGGCATTCTGCTCTCAGACGCACAGGACGGCCTTGCCGCTTTTTAGCCAGCAGTAAAAGGTAGGTGGCAGTCATTTGATCATACTTCCACTGAAGAAACACACAGAGAGTAAAGATTTCTCTTCTGAGTGATTGATGTATAACACTCTTGTTTATAACAGGGAATTCTGAAGAAGTCACATCTCACTAGGTAAAGCTCTGGCCAATGCACTGGCATCTACTGACATCTAGTGGTCATGGCTATTAATTAATTTCACGCAGAGTGATTTCATGCCTTTCTTTGCAGTGGTTATCTTTATCTAATGGTTATTAAGCAGTTATTCCATAAAATTCAATAAAGTTCAACATCTTATTTTTACATCAATTGATAAACAGTTTTGAAATTATTTCACTTTCATTCTACATTTTTTTTTTTTTTTACAAATTTTTTTTATAAAATAAAATTATCTAATCAGATGCAAACATGGGACAATTTGCAACTATTTGCTACATGTGCATAAATTATTACTAAAACTGCATGTAAATTATAGTTTGGAGTTTTTTTAAAGAGATTAATTTATTTAGCAAGGACACATTAAAGTGATCAAAAGTAAAGATTTTTGAAATTGTTAAAAAAGTTAGCCATTTCAAATAAATGTTATTCTTTTGAACTTTTAATTCATCGAAAAATCTTGAAAAATAAACTGATAGTAACAGGAAATGTTTCTTAAACACCAAATCAGCATATGTGACCCTGGAGCACAAAAGCAGTCTTAAGTCGCTGGGGTATATTTGTAGCAATAGCCAAAAATACATTGTGTGGGTCAAAATTATTGATTTTTCTTTTATGCCAATTCATGCCAAATCATTAGGATATTAAGTAAAAATCATGTTCCATGCAGATATTTTGTAAATTTCCTACCGTAAATATATTAAAACTTAATTTTTGATTAGTAATATGCATTGCTAAGAACTTCATTTGGACAACTTTAAAGGCGATTTTCTCAATATTTTGATTTTTTTGCACCCTCAGATTCCAGATTTTCAAATAGTTGTATCTCAGCCAAATATTGTCTTATCCTAACAAACCATACAACAATGGAAAGCTTATTTATTCAGCTTTCAGATTATGTATAAATCTCAATTTTGAAAAATTGACCCTTAACTGGTTTTGTGGTCCAGGGTCACATATTAGAATGATTTCTGAAGAATCATGTGACACTGAAGACTGGAGTAATGATGCTAAAAAAACAGCTTTGAACACAGCAATAAATTACATTTTAATAACTATTAAAATAGATTTTTAATTGTAATCACAATCACAAATAAATACTGATGAATTCTAATATTAACAAATATAATATTCATTTTAAATCAGGGGAATCACTCAGTACCTCTGACACAAGTTGGATTGTGAGTTGTCTGGATTGTTTAGAAGTCACTGCCATTTCAGTGATACAGTCTTCATCTATATGACCCAACTAAAATGAACAAACACACAAAGGAAATTATACAGCTAGGAAGTTAAAAGCTCTCTAATATTGAATCAATTTAACATAAAAATATTAAGGTCATATGGATCTGTAAAGACTTTAAATGAACTAAAGCAGAAATAATTTGTTATAGGTAAGAAATCAATAAGAATAGCAAAAGCTTTAAAGCCCAAAAAATGTCTAACAAGAACAATATTGGCTTCACTTGACTAACTGGATCTTGGAGGCATATAAGCATGTTTATAGAGCTGATCTTACGGGATGTTTACTGTGCCACTCCACTGGTGTGCTGTATCCCTTCATAACCCAAGGGTGATCAAGCAACTGTTTCACGGTCAAACGCCTCTTTGGGTCCACCTGCAGGAGAAGGGAATAAACTACTATGAAATTGTATTTCCTTACCTAAAAACATCAAACAGACACATAAACCATGCACAGTACCTGCATCATCTGGTTTAGAAGCAGAATGCTAGCAGGTGAAAGCCAGTGCGGGTTGCTATATTTGCCTCTCTGTCAAAACACAAGCCAATATTGCACAATACATGCTATACAAACTTGCTTTTATTTCAGTAACCTAGTAAATGCACGGATTATAAACCGTGGTGGAACACAAATAAACTTACTGTAATTTTTCTGTAGAGGACCATACAATTGTCATCATCAAAGGGTAGAAAACCACACAGTAGAGCGTAAAGCAACACACCCATACTCCACACATCAGCCTGAAACACACGTGCCATGAGATCACGAGTAATACACACGCTTAATTTGTTGTTGCTTTCAAACATGTAGGACATGAAACACATATGGCACACTGACCTCAGAGCCGATGTAAGCCTTGCCCTGAATGAGCTCTGGAGCCGCGTATGCTGGACTGCCACAGCAGGTCAGCAATTCAAAACCCAAACCGCCCTAATTACAATTTTTACAATATTTCAATATTTATTTAAAAGCACTGATACATATGGACATATTATTTAAAACAACAAGCTGCTTTACATCTGAAAATGAAGTCGTTTCATAACTGATGGATTTGCAACATGAACACGGTTATTATTCCTGTTTACTGTCAAGCTGCTTTGAAACAATCTGTACCTGCTTTACATCTGAAAATGAAGTCGTTTCATAACTGATGGATTTGCACATGAACACGGTTATTATTCCTGTTTACTGTCAAGCTGCTTTGAAACAATCTGTATTGTATAAAGTGCCATATAAATGCATGCGACTTGACTTAAAAGAAAACATACATAGTAATAGATGGATACACACCTTTGGTTTGGCACAAAGACCAAAGTCAATGAGTTTTAGGTTATGATCTTCATCGATCAGCAGGTTTTCCTAAGGTCAGTAAGAAACAGTTGTATCAAGAAAACACGGTTAACTTAATAATTCGCCCCTAAATGAAAATACCATCATCATTTAGTCACCCTCATGTTCTGAATATCCTTCAGTCGGTTTCTTACGCTGAGCTAATCACATAAAGTCAAAAAGTCTTGGGATACAAGTTGGACCACACTCCTGATAGTGCTTTTGTGTCCTTTTCAAAGCCTTAAAGCATCAGTCCCTGTTTGTTGTAATTGAACGAGAAAGAGGAGTGCGCACAGTGTTCTGAATTCCTCTTTTGTGTTCCACATAATAAAGCCTTATGGGTTTGGAATGGGAGTTCAAACAGCCGATAAAAGCATCATAATAATTCACAATTAATCGACAACTTCAGTTCAAATCCAATTCCTAAATTCTTGTTTAGTGAAAACCTGCGTGTTTGTGAGAAACAAATTCATCATTAGGGCATTTTAACTTTTAACCCTCGCTTTTGGCCAAAATACGAGTCCATAATCCATAATAACGCTCCCTCCAGTGAAAAAGTCCATCTCCTGTTATCCTCTCACATCAAAATCCACCCACTTATTCGTTTAGAACTGTTTTGTAAACCGTGCTCGATCTGAGCATTCTCTCCCGATTCAGACAAGACGTTCTGATGACGAAACAAACTCATCTACATCTTGGATGGCCTGAAGGCGAGTACATTTTCAGCAAATTGTCATCTTTGGGTGAACTATTCCTTTAAGACCGTTCTCATTTCTGGGTGATCTGTTCCTTTAAATGGGAGAACTCAGTATATGCTTAAACTACTTAGAAATTAAATGCTCTTTTCAACCAACTCACCGGTTTGAGGTCTCGGTGGGCATAACCCTGGCTATGAACATAGGCCATCGCAGAGATGATCTGATGGAAAAACACTCGGGTCTCTTCCTCTGATAACCGGTCTTTAGCAATGATGTAATCAAACAGTTCTCCTCCAGGACAGTACTGAGAGAGCGGCACGATACATGCATATAAACATACGAAGCATAATGCATTTTCTTTAAGCATCAGAATCACTTTCAAGGAAACATACCTCAAGCACCATGTAGATCTTGCTTGACGTCTCAATGACATGGTAGAGACGACACACGTTTTGATGACTGAGGTTCTTCATAGCCTCAATCTCTATCTTAACTCGGGGCAGATCATCCTAGAAACAGGTAACACGCATTTCTTTTCCAAAGAACATTTTCAACATGCCAACAAGGTATTTCATCTAAATCTGAAATAAATTAAACAATATCTCCATATTTACTCTTTAATCATCAAAAGGTTTTGTGCAAATGTAAAATTAAAGGCCAATCTTAAGGAGAAGATCTTACCCCTAGGTCTTTCTTTTCCATTATTTTAATGGCCACTTTCTCTCCTGTCAGTATGTGTCTACCAAGTTTGACTTTGGCAAACCCACCTATGGGTTAGAATGGGAATAAAACTAAATTAGTTATTTATGTTCTTTTACGACTTTCTCTCAAATGCATGTCTAAAGCATTATATAAAAGCATAATTAATGAACGTTACCTGAGCCAATGGTTTCATAAACCTCATAGTGCTTGAGAAGTTCAGAAGTGCTGTCTTGAGGCATGCTGAGGACACTTACACCTGCATCAAAACAGCATTTTTTTAGTTACTCTGACACAATTGTTTAAGGCCACAATTCACGTTTGCAACAAAAACACAAATCAGAAGGTTGAACCACAAGGAGTAGCTTTTATACTTACTTTTCACTCTGTCAATGCGGGATCACTATCTTTAGAAAATCTCTCTCTCTCTTTTTTTTTTTTAATGCTCTCGATTGGTTTCTAATGTGGAAAGACAGCTCACATTACTAACTTTATTGACTCGGAGCAAAGTACTGGATGCATATTCCACAAAGGTTCAAATTTCCAAATATACTTGCGTCAAACTAACACAAGTTAACAGATGAATTGTAGTGAAAGCAGTCATAACAATGGCTTGTTTTGACCAACATGTTGAACAAACTCACCAGCTGTGCTCCAATGATTCACTTTAAAACGCCGATATAAGCGAGTTCAAAACAATAAAAAATGTTTGAATGTAATTAAAAAAAGAGTCAATAGTTTACTCTGTTACTCGCAATTGCATATGTTTATAATGTGATATAAAATTAAAACTGCCAAAGCATCTTTCATTCGAACATGTTTTAAAATTTGAATTTCCCACTTGCTACGTCAGAAGAGTTCCTGTTTCCGGTTACGATAAAAGTCCTTCTGCGTTAGTGGAGCTATTATTTTTCTCTCTAAAATAAGAAGGTGCGTTATTACTGGCTAATGGTTAGAATAAAACAGAAATTCAGATATGATTGGGCTGCTACCTTAATTTTACTTTTTTTTTTTGCGTTTGTTCGGAAGACCCGGCTAGTTGTCACACTTTTTTTTTGCTCTAGTGAATATATTTCCGGGTGGGTTTGTTTTTGAAAGTCAATAAAACTAAATATTTTTTTTACAGTCTATGTAATAGCCACATGCATATATACCTGTAAGCATATATATGAAAAAAATATATATATAGTTGTTACTATGCAAGATCATTGTGTGTTAAATGAAATGCATATAGTGTTTACACATGTCACGGAGGAATATATTATGTCATTATTTACTAACGCTGGGGATGTTAGGCATAGCAAACATTTACAGCCTCATCTGTAATAAATCTGTGAACAAGGAGCTCTGAAATAAGTTATTCGACTTCATCGTGATGTGCAAAAATGTGTGAAAAGTTAGAAAATGCTGGTTATTTAGACTGAATATCCATAAGTTGTGTGTATGTTATATTGGCATTTCACAAATACTTTTGAGAATTTTTTTAAATGAAGACTTCATATTAGTAACCTAATAAAACTTGACTTACAAGTAGCTGGGGCTGCCTCATAGGAGCCGCCATGTTCAAGTCTGCATTAAATGAAAATTCAACCTGTAAAGTCATAACTGCACCTTCCGGAGAAAATAACTAGACTTCTCTCTGGTTGAGTATGCAGTACTTCTCCAATCATTTAGTCCTCCTAAACCCCGCCCCTTCATGCTTGTGTTCATCTGCCACCACTTTCGAGTGCAACACTCATGCCGCTAGATGTCAGTGTCACATATCGGTCAGCAGCATAAAAAATACAAATAAAAATAAAAATCTGACTGCTAGCCAGAGTTGATGCAATAGAGGATTTTTAATATGCGTTGGCACTAATGGAAAAGAACGGTGTAAAGTCTAATTAATAAAACATACATTCTCCAGTCATTTAGATGTCATTTTAATTGGGTGAATACTGCATTACAAAGCCGGTTTTCATTGCTATAAGCATTCATTCACTCACTGGTCATTCTTTCAATCATGCATTCCTTTTTACATGCAGCCCACTATTCCCAAGGTATACAGTATGTCTATGGCTTACAGCATGCCTTATAGGAAGAGAGTGGATGGCAGCTTTTTGGTATTCAGACACTTACTGGTAGGTAAATTAATTTGAAATTTGATATTTTGTCACACTCAAATTTGTAATTTTCCATGTCACCTTTGAAACATTTTCTATAATTGGTGTATGATTATGTGAGCAGTGTTTTGTGAATTCTGGAAAATTATAGGGGGAGGAATGACTAAAAAGGAATAACTCATCGGTGAAAAATAAATCCATGGCAGCAAAAATTAAACTATTATTTTCCCACAAAATTATCTAATGGTCTAAATAAACCCCGCTTCCTGAAGTCATAACTCTAAAGCATGTGCAAAAGTCAATGTAGAATCTTTTGAATGAATCTGCATTCACTGCAAAATCATTCATCCATAGGCTTTGGTATATTCTTCGAAAGGAACACATAATAACGTTACTGGCAACTCAAGTAAAATATTGTTTGTATTTAGTAAACATTTATAACCCAGGCCATTACTGCAGAAAGGTTTTTATAACATTCCCTAATAGACAATATAGGTATAGCATAGAGAAGAGTATATACTGTATGTGCATAACACTGGTGAGAACGGTAGTGAGAAAGCAAGCAAAAGAGAGCAAATATGAGAAAGAAAGCAGAGAATGTTGGAATATACATTATGCAAAATCCCTGTCTATGCTTTCCTCATGAAGCAGAATCAGTTACTGACAACCATAGAACAAAGACAGTTATGGTTTAGAATTACATTCAATACTAAATTCTTATATCCAACATATAAATACTGTAAAACAAGCTGTTTAATACCCTGTTTAGAAATTCTGGTCTCAGTACAGTTGTCATTTTAGGCTAATCCATTCAAAACATTTAAATGGCAGGTTTTATGTTTCAGTGTCTGTATATGTGTGAGTGTATAGTGCACGCTTATTACTGTTATGGCTTGGACACTGCCTCAATGTTGATGTTCTATACCACAACAGGTCTATTTGAACCACATTTGAGTTATTCTGACAGGTTTCTTGCCGTTTTGGGGGGAAAAAATACTCAATTTAACTATTGAAAGGTCAAAGGGCAGTAGTTTTGTCAAAAGTACCAATGTCGGTACCAGTCGGAACTGAAATTTCAAAAATGTGACGATACCAGCATTTCCCGCTAGCATTTTGAGCACTGTTGTGTGGAGTCTCAAACACCTCTGATTGGCCATTGTGTTCTCACACTCATCTGTGATTGGCTACAATGATCATCGCTTTACACTCTTCACTGAGAGCTTTCACAGATACACACAGGAGTGCGTGAACACAATGACCGATCAGAGGTGTTTGAAAATCCACACAACAGCTCTCAAAATGCTAGCGGAAAATGCTAGTATCGTCACATTTTTTAAATTTCAGTACCGACTGGTACCGACATCGGTACTTTTGACAACACTAAAGGGCAGTGAGAGTGCGAAAGAGCTGGGTGAGGCAGAAGACTGAGGTCGTTAGCGCAGTGCACTGGCGAGCCAGAAGTTTAATACTGAGATCATGACAAGTCTTTCTTTCGGTAACACTTCCTACTAGCTCTGCTGCCCGAGCAAAGCCCTGATAAGTTTTTGCAACACTTGCTAGTCCGGTAAGTGCTTGGGCATGGCGCTCCCTGCATCGCTGGCAGTTAGAGAAACATAAACACACACTTGTCAGCTGTACCAGTGAGCGGAAGCTTTCAGACAATGATTGAAGTGTTTCCTCTGGCGTCTGCCCAACTCTGACCACGCGTTGGCATCCAGCTAAAAGCCCCCGAGCCTCTGCATGTAATTGCCTTTTGTTCTCTGAAAAGTGAGCCACACAGGTATCCCTGGTGTGCTTGTGGACCCCATCTTGGTTTTTCATAGCGCCAGCAAGGACATTTAAGAGGGTATCCACATCCCTTTGCAAAGAAAGGAATCCTGTTGGTGGTAGGGGATATCGACGAGTCAGCAACGAAGTGATGATATCTTCATGAGGGTCCGAAAGGAAGCAGTCAGGAGCATCCAATGGAGACAGAAGGGGACTGAGTTCTGTAGATGAAGATGCAGGCGGTACTAGATGTGGGAATGAGGGCAATGGAGAAGATGGAGAGAAAGATGCAGGGGATGCAGAGAGGGAGGAAGGAGGGACAGATTTCAGCACAGCATCCCTTGTTTCACCCTGGCTCGTTCTGCGGGAAAACTCATATACTGTGAGTTCATCATCGAAGCTGGCGCTGTCAAGAACTCCACTGAAACAGTTGGTGTATACTGTATGGCAGACCTCTAAAGGTGTCTGAGCACCCTCCATTACAGTCTCACACCCCATAGCCAGTACCGAGCTGCAGCTAAGGTCTGGTTTCTCATGTTGATTTGGGCTGGGCAAGGATTTTGGCTGGGCTATGGTAGGTTTGGACTGGCAGTTTGCGAAAACCCCACAGCTAGAGGTAAAGTTATGGGGTGTTGTGCTTGAGGGTGGGTGGCTACATTCTTGTAACCCACTAGACGTTACCACCCCCCAGGGTCCGTTTAAGTTCTGTGTTGTAACCACTACGGATGAGGGGCTGACTTGGAGAGAGTTGTCTGCCTTGGAGCACATTCCAGAAAACTCCCCTATGGCTATTCCAGAAAACTCTTTAGGTTCAGTTTCGGTTTTCAGCTGTCCACATGCTTTGAGGCCAATGTGGCTGACCTCTCTTACCTCCTCAATGACCTCAGTGACCTCTTCAGATACTATGGTAACCACTTTTACCTCTGTAACTTCAGGAGAACCTTCATTCAACGTCACATCCTCAGTTGCCTCTTTTGCTACTTCAACTTCATTTTTTTGTAGTTGTATTTCTGAAAGTCTTCTCACAGGTTTAACATTGCCATTGCCATCAGAACTGCCATTTAGCATTTCCTGGGAACGTGATAAGTAGAGGGGAAGGTTCTGGATCTTTCCCCGCAATGTTGAGGCAGAGAGTCGCCCAAGGATGCCGGATGAACAGGGTGTAAGAAGGAAGCTTTGGGCTGGTTCATAAGACGGAACACCAGAAGACAGTTCTTGGAGTGAAGGGTCACAATTATTGTCAGTTTCATCAAATTCTGGTCCTCTGACTCGCTGGGAAATTAAGTGCCTTGATGGCCCACTACCAAAAGATGCAGACATACTCTGACTCCTGGTCCTCTCTGTTGGCTCCACTGAGTGGTTACCCATCCCAAATTGTAGATGTACAAAACCGTCGTCTCTGTCTACATCAGGGCTTGTGGTGTATGATATGCTCGGGACATGGAAGTAGGGTAAACTTGATGGGGATATCTGGCCTAGTCTTGGCAGTGAGCTGCTCTTTTGAGTCACTGAACTGCCTTGGAAAAAATCTTCCATTTGTTTGGTTACCTGATCTCTTTGACCAAATAAAACACTGCTATCACACTGTCCTTTAGACATATCAAAGAACAAGTGGTCTCCAAACAGTCTCTCAAATAGACCTCCCACTGTACCCTCCTCTTGATCATCTCTGCTATGGTTACTGGTGCTTCCTTTATCCTGTAGGTTCATGTGGGAGCATACTGCTACTATAGCTGGCGATGCAGTAGACATTAGTTCATTGACTGATTTGAACTCCATGGAATCTGGTTCCATCTCTATAAGTTGCTGTTTCCGCTGATATGATTTGTTTGAGTGTGATCCCACTTGTGTATCAGTGGGATTATGTGGTCCTGATCCATTGACTTTGGACGGGTTGATGGGTTTGGATTCCAGTTGCGCTGGTTCTCCTTCAGAATCAGTTAGGGATGAGACTGTTGGACATGGACCTTGATCTGAGCATCCACCTTCAAAACATGCCATTCGGCCA